TTTTTGTATTTTCTTAAAGTAGATGCCAGCTAACAAATGAAGAGATGATGGAAGCGGAAAAATCAACATTTGGCAACCACCTGGGTGAATTCAGGTAAGATTCACCAATGGGGGGTGGGGTAAAATAAGTAAAAGATGGGAAAAGACTACTGATACAGTTTCTCTAAACACCTTCAAATTACTAATTAATAAATTGAGGAACCTGGCAGACAACATCAAAACGAAGCAATAAAAATGAGCATCTCAAGTTATGGGACAAACTGACAGCGTGTGCTTCCTGATACCAAGAAGGCAGCACCACTTCTGCACATATAAATCACGACAAAACCTCAGACAAATTCAGTTGCGGGGAAATTCCACAGAGTTGCTGGCCTGTGTGCTTAAAAAATTTCAAGGTCATGAAAGACAAAGAAAAGATTTGAGTTACTCTTCTGTACTGAAGGAGACCAAAGAGACAAATATATGCAACCTGTTTCCTGGAATGAATCCTAGATCTATGAAAAACAAACACACACACACACACACACAATTGAGACAACTGGTAAAATGGGTAGGGTCTATGAATCAAATGGTAAAATTGTATTGATATGAATTTTCTGATTTTATAATTGCATTGTAGTGGTGCAGATCATGTCTGTTTTTAGGAAGTACATGTTGAAATATAAAGGAGTAATGGGACCTCTTATTGGCAACCTGAGAATTCAAATGGTTCAGAAAAACATATGCCTGTATATGTGAGTGTGTGTAATTGTGAGGAAGGACAGCAACTGTTAACCGGGGGCTGGGTGAAGGACATACAGAACACTATGCACAATTCTTGTAATTCTTTTGTAGGTTGGAATTTGATAATAAACAACAAACACACCTAGTTAAAGAGAGAATCTAAGCTTAACAAAGCTGGGAAGGGAGCAGGGAGCTCTGTTTTAACAAAAGCTATTATAGGGAGCTCAGGAATGGGCAGAAATGGAGTTCCTGACTGGGAATACCAGAGCAGGGAGTGGAAACTGCCTTAGAGGAATCTCTTCTTCAGAGTCACCAAGGGAGATCACTCTATATCCCTGGGTGGGAGATACATTATTTTCCTCCTTAAATATAAGTAAAGATGGAGAAAGCTACTTAAAGCATGTAAGGATAGCTCAGCCTGATCTGCTAAGGGGGTGGTACTGGGTTCCCACTTCTTGCTCCTCTCTGAGCCCTGGCTCTGTAGGCCTCCTACTGCTGCTTGGCCTCTGGCTGAGGAAGGTGCTGTCCGAATATTCCCTGAACAAGTGGGAGGCTGGGAGATGAGAGGGTGGACCCCATGCTAGGCCCCACAGGAAGCCGGCAATGCTGATAAGGCCACCCACACAGAAGTCCTGAACAAGGTCACAAGGAGGGCAAGACAGGCACAGTTCCTGAGTACCATTCATGTCACCTAGGGCCACTATATCGTCTGGTTTCATCTCACTACAAAGTCAGTGAAGAGGGCATTAACTTCATTGCAACAATGACAAAACAAAGTAGAAGAAGTTAAGTAGCTTGCTCAGGATCCCAAAATAATAAGTGCAGCGCTTTGATTCAAATCTAGGTCGGTCTGGTACCTGGGCCCCTACCCTTGGCCCTAGGTGGGGCTGCTTCTCTGATATCTAAGAGCTTAGGAAATATATATACATATATATTTTTCCCCTCCTTCTTTTTTTCTTTTCTCTTTCCCTTATCCCAGCTGTTCCTGTCCTTTGATCAATTTCTTTCCCTTTCACAATATCTCCTGTACCTTTTGGGTTTTATTTACTCTTTCAGGTTTCTACACTAGGGAAAATTTTTTTTTTGTTTGCAAACTCTGCCTAGGTAACAAATATGACCGCGGCCATCTTTCCCACACAAACACAAATGTGGCCATCTTTTCCAAAATTGTTCAATAATTGAAGTTGGTGAACCAAGGTACCACTGTACTGTCTCACAGACTGACTCTACTTGAAACATTCTCTTAATCTTTTTTGTTTGTTTTGGTACCGGAATTGAACTCAGAATCTTGCATTTGCCAGGCGAGTGCTTGTGCCATATCCCGAGCCCT